CCCTCCTGTTATTCATGCTCAAGCCTCTGGAGGTCATGACAAGCTTAAGACTTAATATGTACGAGGTATCTGATAGAGTAGCAAGGATAAAGAAGACTGACAAGTCAGAGATGTCCAAGTTCCCAGTCTTTGAGGGAGGATATGAAAGTCCTCCTAATTGATACACCTTGAGAATGCAAGGCAGTTGAGAGCCAGGTCGTTGGCATCAGGGCTTTATGGCTTGCTAAACTCCTTGCTTCCTCTCCCTCCAATTACAAAGCAGAAACAAGGAAATACCCTAGTTTAAACAGCTGCATTGGATAGCATTAGAGACAGAAGTTCTTCAGGCCAAGCTACCAAAAAGAAGTGGACAAACACACACAGCCTTGCGAAAGCCCAAGGGTGCCAGTTGTATTTTTCAGAGGACATTTTCCCTCAAAGTATAAGCCACTGAGGATAAGGCACTGCTGGCTGGTAGCATATCAAAAAAGCATCTCACCTCCACATGTAGAAAGGGTTGTCACAACTAAGGCTGTCACTGTGGCTTCTGCCACCAGCTCCCCCCACCCATGCCTGCCATTTGCAGCAGTAGGCTCCTGCTCTCAGGAACTTAGTTTGTGGTGAGAGACAAGTTCCCACATCCTGTTGAAAGGGGCCTTGTACTCACTCCAGCCTCAGAGGTTCAGCTGACTGGAACCCACTTCAGCCTTTTTGCAATGGGTTGGAGATTTTAGAATGGATTCGTGGCTGAGGTCAACCAAGAAGTGAAGAAATAATTTTCCAGCTCCCCTGTGATCTGTCACAGGGGCATTCAAGTAAATTCAGTCCATCAGCCAGTATATTTCATGTATATTGTGGGAGAAAGTTCCAGGCCTGAAGGAAATGTTTACATGTGAGGAGGCATGATCTTAAAGAGGGAAAGGAAAATAAAATCAGTTCCTTGCTTTCATACACACTACATATGCAAATTATAACTAGCTATATGTTTGTGCAATACTGTTGGAGGACAATAAATCTCATTGAGAGCCTGCTGTTCTATATTGGGGCTTGCCATCTTTGTATTTGATTAGGATTTGTCCTAAGTATTACATTTCATCTTCCTTCTACTAAGAAAACCACTATGGCTAAAAACTATTTCTCCTTGTAAGTTTGATCTTCTTGAGTCTATTACATTTTCATGATTTGTTTCTACTTCAAGATGGAGAAGTTTCTCCAAGTTGGAGAAGGATTTCTGTCTTCTCTGTGCTTTGTTATGTCTTACAGGCTGTATTCAGCAGAGTGCATCACATGTTTGAGAGACCTCATCATCACCAGCATAGAAGCTGGGCCTCTTCAGTCCTTGCTCTCTCTTACTTCCTGCTCCTTGTATGTAATCAGTTGGGCCTTGGAAAGGACTCTGCCTGGCTTCCTAGAACTTTTTTTCTTTATACACCAGCCCCTCACAGCCACATGTTGTCCTATGACGTTAACTGTACCTGTGGCAGTGATATTGGCCATCATGGCAAGGGTAAGAATGAATGATGCTCAGTGGGAAGAATTAGCAATTCAAAAAAAGTGAGTCAACACACCACCACACAATTCAAAAATTTATCAATGAACTTTTCAGAAATTGTGCAAATGATTATTATTAACTTATGTTTCCCTAGGGATTAAGCACACTATAGACCCTCACATGAAAATGTTTTTTTGCTTTTGTGCCTTTTGCCCAGGATAGAATAACGGCACCCACAGAGATGATTCATTCTCCTTTAATTTCCAGAAAAATGAACACATCATTTTTGTTTGTTGTTTGTCTGTTTTGTTTTGGTTTTTGACACAAGGTTTCTCTGTATAGTTTTGGCTGTCCTGGATCTTGCTCTGTAGACTAGGGTGGCCTCAAATTCACAGAGATTCACTTGCCTCTGCCTCCTGAGTGCTGACATTAAAGGTGTGCACCACCACCGCCTAACACAATAAACATAACAAGGTCAAAATTGGGTTTCCAAGTTACTTTAGATTTTCATTAGTTATCTACTGTTCGTGGGTCTTTTATTTCCTTTGCACTGTAAAATATACACAAGCCATTTGGAGTGTGTCTTAGTAGTAGAGTACCTGCCTCACATTTACAATTCCCTTGGTTAGACTGTGGCATTTTTACCAAGTTATTTGTCTAAGGTTATCAACCCTCAGCTTCAATTTTAACATGAATAGCTAGCTTTTTTGTGTGTTCGTTTTTGTCACTGATGAAATAAAACAACAATCATCAAACATTAATATCCTTGCATTCTGGTTTCATTACAAATTGAATATTTACTCACTGTTTTTATTTTCAAAGGGGGCAGGGGTACTGGTGAGTTGATCCAGTGGGTAAAAATGCATACCACCAAGCAAAATGGCCTGAGTTCGATCCCCAGACTCATACGGTGGACGGAGAGAACTGACTCCTGAAAACTGTCCTCTTGTGGAGTTCACATTGTTGATGTGTCAAATACACCACTGAGCTTGGCTCCACTCACTGTTTCTTCAAGGGGCCCCACAGAGGAACTTATTGCTCCTTCCTTCCCCGTCTTTTAGCATCTAGTGAAAACTCAAGACGGCAGTGAATCAGACTCAAACATGATAATTCTATGTGTAATTCATAAGTGTGCTTGTTTGAAGACACATTAATGTAAATAATTTCAATATTGGCTCTATCTGGAAAAGATGATAGTATACTATGAATGAACTGGAAACTATTGTGATGGCAGAAAAACCAGTGAGTGTGTGTTACATTCAATTCTTGATCGGTTTGTTTATGTTTTTGTTGATTCAGAGCTAAGGACAAAACTCAAGGTCTTGTATTTGCTAAGCAAGTGCTCCATCACTGAGCCAAATATAACCACCTGTGTTAACCCATGCAATCTTTACCAAAACAAGCAAAAATCCAGTTAACAGTGGGAATAGAGTTCTGATTTCAGAGACGAAGAAAGCAGACTTGGAAAACACCATGCTATATAGCAAAGTCAAAGGCTTGTGCCTCAGTCAGTAGCTTCAAGGCCTGTGCCTTTAAATTAGACATTTGCAGGGTCTCCTGGATCCAGACTAGCAGCCAAGGCTAAAGTTTCCATTCTGAATCCACAACTTCCATATTTTTCGAACTAAAAATAAGGTGTGGTTTAACGATGGTCAGGGGTGTTTGAAGGGTTTTCCCCTGTGATGTACATGACATGAAGTTGCTATGACAGACCAGGGCTCAGTCCCCAGCAGTGCAGAGAGGAGGGAGAACAGCTTTCTTCTTTGTACATAACAGGAAGCCTTCTGATGTGCCGGTGCCAACCCTCTATACACCGTGCCTGTGCTGTGAATTCATTTAAAACGCCTAGGAGAACCGTGACATCATTTGCATGAGGAGATAAGAAAGCTCATTAATATTCCTTTTCACTTGGCCCCTGAGTCTAGGTCCTTCGCTATACTATTCCACCTTGTTTTCATGAACTTAAATGAAATTATACATAAAGACTATAAATTATACCACTATTGACCTGTAGGATCAAATGCTGGGTAGTAGTGGCATAGCTTTAATCCCAGGACTTGGGAGGCAGAGGCAGGCAGATTTCTGAGTTCAAGGCCAGCCTGGTCTAGTTCCAGGACAGGCTCCAAAGCTACACAAAGAAACACTGACTGGAAGGAAAAAAAAAAGAAATGTAGACTCAAAGAATTCTTTCTCAGAAATAAACTTCCATCCAACCAGAGAGCAAACTTTGGTAAGTGTACATGTGTGCACAAGTACGTGCTTGCATGCATTCATGAGAGAGAGTGAGAGAGAGAGAGAGAATGCTGAGTACCAGTTGCATCACTAAGCAACATCTTCTGTCTAGAATTATCTCATACTGCTCTCTCTTTCTCTGTGAAGCTTCATAGCCCTGAGCCTGGAGGTTCTTCCTGCTTTTTAATTTTTTGTTTGTTTGTTTGTTTAATGCAGGATCTGGTCTTCCTGTCTCTGCCTCCTAAATGCTGGCTTTGTAGGGTGTACCACCACACCTGCTTTATTTCATGTTACATATCTGAGCCAGGGCTTCGAGCATGCTAGGCAGGTATGCTCTCAGCCGAGCCACATCCCTAGCTCAAACTCTGTGGTTTTGAAAGAAAGAGTGAACCGTTAATTCTCCCAGGCTAAGCTAGACTATATTAACAAAGAAAGGTGAATATCTGCTGCCTTTACTGAGTAATTTCCCAGTTCTCATAAGGAGGGAGGTGAGGCAGGACCTCATGGTACTAGAAGAGACAAGACAGAGAAAGATCTAGAAATGAGACTCCCAAGCCAGTCCCTGCGGCTGGTCAATGCCCTCCCCACCCCCAGCTAGCCTAGGCTTCCACTCCAGGGCCTGCTGCATACAGTCACACAGTAGCACTCTGGATTTACAAATAATAAGGAAACCTCATTCTGTTATTTTTAGAAGGGCTGGGATGTTCTGTAACATCTCCCTGACAGCAAACAAACTTAAATGCAACAGGAACAGGAAAGCTCTAGCCAGCCACAGTGATGCTAACATATCTTTGCTGGCTAAAAGCATACAGCCTAAATATACAGCATCTACTTTCTTTTTTAAGTTCAGTTTCCACATGAGTCTCAGTTGTAAAATGAAAAGTGGGAGAATTCATTTGCTGGTCACTTCTATATGTTTTCAAATGAAGTAAAGGTCTGGAGACATACAGAGTCAGAGTAAATCCAACAGGATTGGCTAAGCAGAGACAGTGAGGGGACAGAGAAAAATGTTCCCAATGTAAGTGAATGAGTGAGTCCCTGTATGACAAACAGAAATTTATGCACAGCCATTGCCCCCCCCCCCTTCAAGAAACCTTCACAACTTATTTTGCCATAGAGGAACTTAAATGTTACAATAGCTGGTCAACCAATCAGTAGCACCCTAGCACTCCGGCACCCCAGCCGCAGATCAGGAAGCCCTTGAACGTATAGTATTTTAAATTTCATGAGACTTGTGGCTTTCAGCTTTTTTTTTTTTTTTTTTTTTTTTTTTTTTTTTTGTTCCCTGTGCTTGTAGGATGGAAAAACAGATGTGAAGTCCCTCATGGCGAAGTTCAACACAGGGACTAACCCGACAGAGGAGGTCTCCATCAACAGCAGGCCCTTCAAAGTTGCAGGACAAAATGCGCCTTCGGGAATACAGGCAAGAAAGAATTTATTTGACAACCAAGGAAATGCCAGTCCTCCCGCAGGACCCAGCAACACGCCTAAATTTGGGACCACAAAACCACCCTTGGCAGCGAAGCCTACCTATGAGGATAAATCTGACAAGGATCCCAAACCTCCATTTTTAAAACCTAGTGGAGTAAACCAAAGATTTGGAACACAGCCAACTTCGGCTTCTAGAGACCCTGAGGTCAAAGCGGGGTTTCTGAAACCTGTAAGCCCCAAACCCACCAGCTTGACTAAAGAAGATCCCAAACCGGCGTTTTTACGGCCTTCTGGGAACAAGCAGCACAATTTGAACCAAGAGTCTGACTTGAAGACGCCAGGACCAAAGCCAGGGGCTACTCCCCCAGTCCCAGAAAACGATCTAAAGCCAGGGTTCTCAAAGGTGGCTGGAGCTAAGAGCAAATTTATGCCAGCCACACAAGATGCTGACTCCAAACCCCGATTTCCCAGACACACTTTTGGCCAGAAGCCATCCCTGAGTACAGAGGACTCCCAGGAAGAGGAGAGTACCTCTAAGAATGTGGCTGTCCAGAAAGGATCCCCAATGCCACTAGGGGCCAAGGGCAAGGGTGGCCCTTTCAAACCAGCTAGGGAAGACACAGAGGATAAAGACAATGGAACTTCAAGTTCACCCTTTGCAGGAGTGATTCTGAAACCTGCTGCAAGCAGAGGGAGCCCGGGGCTCTCCAGAAACTCTGAAGAAAAAAAAGAAGAGAGGAAAACAGATGCTACAAAGAACATTTTTCTGAGTAAAATGAACCAGGAAGAGCCGGCCAGATTCCCCAAGGCCCCTTCCAAGCTGACAGTGGGGACACCATGGGGCCAAAGTCAGGAGAAGGACAAAGGAGACAAGAATTCAGCAGCCCCCAAGCAGAAGCCTCTGCCTCCGCTGTCTGTCTTGGGCCCACCTCCACCCAAGCCCAGCAGACCACCCAACGTTGACCTGACCAGATTCCGAAAAGCTGACACAGCCAACAGTGAGTTGTTTCTCATTGCTAGTAACTGTGGTTTGCGCACAGCCGAGAGTGTTGCAGCTTCTAGGAGATACTTTAGAGCAAGGAATGTTGCGTAACTGATACTCATGTGAGTATAGGGTCAGTTTTCCTTTGGCGGTTTTTTCTCTTTGTGTAGGAGTCTGAGAAAGTGGAAAATCCAAGTTCTATTTGAGTTTTCTGTGAGAAAGTGCCTGGGGGGGGGGGCACTGACTTATTAGGGAGACAATGGAAAAGAAATACATCCATTTGACTAATAAGTGGTTTTGCTTAAGTTTAACCATTGCATTTACTCCCTTGGTTGTGTTTCATGTCTGTTGATTGAGAGAGATGTCCTCCTGCCCATCAACAGTCAAAGAGAGAAGTCTGCCGACTTCTAAGTCAGTATTCTAAAAGGGGTCAAATTTGAGAAACAAAGGATGTATGTATTGTCTGGAGGCATTTTTTATTGTCACAATGGTCTATGACAATGACATTTTGTTAATAAAGCCACTTCCTACAACACAATAGCAGCCCCTTATCCAGGTCAAAAGGTTAATGCTGCAAATGCTATTTATTATGTTCCCTAAGCCCAAGTAGGAGAGTAATGAGGGTTTTAAGAAGTAGTATATCACATATTATATTTTAGCTGATTTTTAATTTCCCAATAATGTCTGTACTATTGAAGTTTATAAAGGCATACATAGCTAGAAAATGAAGGCAGGCAAAGGGTGTTTTTTTTGTCATTCTAGAAGACTGGTCCAGCTTTTGTCCGTAGATGTCATTGCAATATTATGGTATGTGGGTGAAATTTGATACTGAATGTCTTGGGAGATACTTGTCACTCTGTGTCGTGATGAGAAAGGCTCACTCATGCCTGCAGTGATTAATATCCTAGCAAATGGTGTCCAACTGCTCTCCCAAGTAAGACAGAAAAAGAGTGATATTTACAGGTGACCAGACCACTGTAAGTCATATGCTTTTCCAAAATATATATATATATATATATATATATATGTATATATATAATCTAAATCTATGTATGGTTGTACATGCCTGTGATTCCAGAGTTGGGAGGTGGGGGCAGGCAAATCAGAAGTTCAAGGTCTTAGAACTACCTGAAATAATTTGAAGCCAGCCTGAGATACTTGAGATATCCACCTCAAAAAAAAAAAAAAAAATCTAGTCTTTGAAAGATCTGCACACAGGCTCCCTCTACATAGCAGAAAAGAGAAAAGGGAGAGAGAAGAGAAGAGAAGGTGGCACAAGGCTGTCATCGCCTCCAGCTTGTGCTACCTGCTCCTGACTAGGGCCAAGAGAAGGCAGCTGATTCTACCAGGGGTGGAGAAAGACCACAGCGCCAGGCTCCCATGACTATTATCCCAAGACTGCTCTCATCAAGGGCAGTTTGTTCCCTTCTTAATTAACAAAAATTCACCCAGTTTGATGTGTATTCTCCAACTCAGAATGGCAGGTTGCAGGAATAGTTCTATATGTCTGCGGTAGCCAGCAAAGTTTTCCGAGTTCGAAGCTCTTGCTGGCCTGGCTAGACGTGAAGGTTCACACTGAAGAACTTTGGGATAAATTCCTGGTAGCTTGGGACAATTTAGAACATTCATTAGTCATTCATTTGTAATAAGGTAGGAGAGAAAAAAAGGTTATATGCTTTGAAAAAAAAATGAAGTGTACCAGATGTTTAACTCTACTAAGTTGTAAGGATACTGATTGGAGAAAAATGCTTTGCAGTAACTGTAGAGACTTACTCTAAGCAAACCATTTTATTGTTGCTAGCAATAGTTACAAAAGTTTTCAAATTAACAAAATTCTATGTAATTGTTCTGTTGGCTTTTAAACCTCTATTATTCTTTCCTACTCCCTGCTTCATTACTCCTTTCCTATTTTCATATCCAGATAAATATTTATCATTTATAGAGGACTTTTTATATGACCTTATACAATCTCACTCTATTTATTCTTTGCAAGCAATGAAATGGAATTCTATCCCAGCACAATCAGGGAATTTGCCCAAATTATAGCTTACGTAAGCGGGGCAAAGAGTGGTTCTCATGTCTCTCTGATTCCATAGACTGTATGATTATCCTGTCCTAGTCCTCACGCTGGCTCCCATTCATGAAACATAAGACCCCTTGAAATGATGACTCAGGCACAAATGGCACCCAAAGACTCTCCATTCCTATCTTTTGCTGTCTTTTTGTTAAAAAATGTCCTCTTAAAAATATTATAAATAAAACTGTGAGCTCCATGGAAGCAGAAATCAGCTTGTTTACCATTCTTTTTCCTGTTTATACTTCTACAGAGGTATATTAATATGAAGTCAGTGTCCCTCAGCTTTTTTAGTATTAAGTTATAATACTTTCCATAGTTTACTAATTACTTCAGCAGATTGTCTGTACATTTAATTAAATGGAGTTTTGGCACAAAATTAATTTTATACCAAGTGTCTCAGTGCCTTGCCTATAAACTGTAAACACACACACATACATCATATTGTTTTCTGAATGTGGGACTAATAACATTTTTATTTCCTCTACCCACACTGACACTAGAACCATTTACAATTACAAAACCCTAAATATTTTTTTTTAAACTCACCTTTCTTTTGACTCCCTTGAAAGATTTCTTTTTAGGTGTTTTGGTACTATTCACTGTCATGTCTGGGTACTCCTTGCTGTTGTTTTTTTTTTTTGCTTTTTGAGACAGTGTTTCTCTGTAGCTTTGGAGCCTGTCCTGGAAATCACTCTGTAGACAAGGCTGGTCTCGAACTCACAGAGATCTGCCTGCCTCTGCCTCCTGAGTGCTGGAATTAAAGGTGCGTGCCACCACCGCCCAGCATCATGTTTGGGTTCTTTCTTAAGAACCCCACCAGGCCCAGGTGTTGGTTCTTGGGTAGGAGGTAGTGAAAACCTACTAGGAAACATTCAATTCGGTCCTTTTTCTTGTCATGTTCTTAACACTAGAAAGACACACTAACTGTTCTGTAGGTTACCTATGGAAATAATCAGTTAAGTACCTTAACAGTTCAGGTCAGCGTTAACTGAAGGCCACTAGAATGCTGTGGCCCTCCTCATCTGTACCTGTGTTCTTCCAACTAATCCAGCTGACAGGAACTTGACATCAAGAAGAGGTGGGGTGGGGATCAAAGAAAATATTCACAACTCAGGAGTTATGAATGTTTATTGCTCTTAAGGAGGACCTGGGTTTGGACCCCAGCACTCACTTGGCAGCTCACAACCAACCATCTGGCACTCCAGTCCCAGGGATCCTACTCCCTCTTCTGAGCTCCAAGGACACCGGGTACACATGTAGTACACAGACATATATGAAGACAAAACACTCATAAAATGAAATAAATAAGAAAAAAAAAACCTTTTAGTTTTGGTTTGGTTTTTCAAGACAGGGTTTCTGTGTAGCTTTGAAGTCTATCCTGGCACTAGCTCTGTAGACCAGGCTGGCCTTGAACTCACAGAGATCCACCTGCCTCTGCCTCCCAAATGTTGGAATTAAAGGAGTACACCACCACCACCACCACCGCCCAGCAAGGAAAGAAAAAAAAAAAAAACTTCAAAAGAATTTAGGCTTGGAATAAAGTATGGCTGGAGAGCTCACACTTAGCACCCTAAGGGGGTAAAGCAAAGGACCTTAGGTTATGTCCAACAGTAGGTGACCTATTTCGAGGAGAGGGGGGAGACTTTCCTCCACAAATCCCAGGGCTATCACCACCTCCTTCCAGTTCAGCATTATCTTTTTACATATGCTTTTATAATAAGATTTTATTGGTTTCTTGTGCACTGAAAAATGCAGTATTTCCCACATTATTGCTATGGGCTATTACAAGAACAGATATTCAAGGCTCAAATGCATCTTTAAGATTTGGAGGTAAATAGTCTTCCAGGGAGCCAACTTTCTCCACAGTTAGCAATACCAAGGAAGTTAAGAATGAGGTTTATCTAGAATGTGTCCATTCCAAGTGTGTCTCATTAGAATATCTCAGGACATAACCCTGGATGTATCTCCAGTGTGTACATGAATCAGAACTAGACCAGCTGTGGGGTTCAGCCTGAGGAGGCAATGAGGCCTTCTCCAAATTGAGCTAGATTCTCACTCTACTGATGCCTGTGGACTTTGAGACTGGAGCCCAGGCTTTACTTCAATTCTCTCACCCTTCTTTACTCTGGGAAATCTCCTTCAAAAGATTTCTGGTTTTTCCTTCTATTCCAGGTTGCAACCCTTGATGAAGCACTTACTGTTAGCCAATCACTCAGCTCACCTAGTTTAACCCCTTAATATAAATGTCTTGGAAAGGCTTCCTTCAATGCAAAAGTCCTTGATCAGATCTGAGCTACTCTATTTTTGGTCTTCCCTCACTGAGGTCTAGACATCTCTCTTCTGCTCAAGATAGACCTGATCTTTGTTATAAACCCAGTTCTCATGAGCAAACTATTCCATGGAGGTTTACATCCCAACAGCAAATATTGCTGGGTTTTGTAAAGACCAAGCTCTGTCATTTCAACAAGTATTTACAGCCCCTATTTTCAATTTCTGCCAGCAAATTTTACTGTGGGAAAGTCTGGAGCTATCTTGAATCTACTCCTTTGAAAATCACTTGTTTTCTGTCAGAATTCTCAGAGAAATCTTTGTCCTGGAAGTACAGATGCATAGCAAGGCTATTTATGTTCATCATTTATTTGATCGTCAGTGATTTCAAGAGATGTTAGCCCTCTGTTGTTCTTGGGTTCTTCCAGGGATCATCATTTCCAAATGCACAGGGATCACACCATCACTTTTGGTTAGGCATATTCATGACATAAGCATCTAGAAGCTCTGATCCATGATAATAAACCTGCTTTCCCCTCAAGCTATGATCTGAGGTCTAAACTTTGCTTTAAATGCTGTTCTCTGTGGTGTTTGAAAGCTATTTGGGATTTGAGGGAAGTCCTTGCTGGGGACCCAGATTCTGATGTTCTCTGAGCTCCTGTTGAGTGCTC